GCAGGGGGAAACCCCGGTGGAGCCTTGTCCTGGTCTGACACACACGGGGTGGTGTTGACGTGGTTACAGTGAACTGTAGCCACTGTCATGTCCATGGCCGCAGCCACTGCGTCCATCCCTCTCCTTGAGAATCTCCCTCTTCTCCCTGACTGTCTACTTTACCAAGCAGGGGGGGTCCTTCAGGAGCTGGACCTCCAAATAAGTGAGAGGAAATCCTACTATCCTTCCTTCTAAGGCGCTTCCTGGCTGTGAAGGGCATTGGGAGAGAATTCTGCACCCCAGGGAGCCCTGGTGGCACAGTGGATTAGCTTTGGGCTGCTGGTTTAAAGGGGGACAGCGTGAACCCACCCACTGGTCCTCTGGAGAATGAGGCAGTCTTTTCCGTGGGGCTCACAGCCCTGGGAGCCCGGTGGGCAGCTCTGCTCTGGAGGACCTCTGGGTCCCGGCTGGACTGGACCACAGCTGGCTCTTCTGGAGGCCAAACCTCTCTCCAAGGAATTCACGAATGTGCTGACTTTTTCAGGAAACTCTGACCCAGGGTTAACCCCCGTTTCTCTGTTTTTGTGACTTTGTTGGACAGCCTAGCACATATGTCCACATGCATGCACACACAGACACAGACACGTGCACACGCACACACAGACACGTGCACACCTCTGTCCCTTCAAGCAAACTGGAGCCCGGCTTCAATGTGACTGTGATCTCTCGTGCCAAATAGAGTACAGTGAGCTGAGCTGCTCACGGCTTTTCCTTAGAGACCCTCTTAGCGAACTGACAAGGGAGGACTCGCTGTCTTGTCCAGTCTTCTTTGATCCATGCCAGTCCTCCAGGCCAGGAGTAGAACTGCTCCCTAGAACCTCCGAGGTTGTCATCTTCTGGAAGCTGGCTGCCACCTCGTTCTCCTGTGGAGTGACTGGTGGGTTCAGACTGCTGACTTCTCAGCTAGTAGTGTGCTTTGCTTAATCATTGTGCCGCTGTTGTTGTTGTTGTTGTTAGGTTCTTTCTAGTACAACTCAGAGTGACCCTGTGAACAATGGACCTGAACCCTGACCTGTCCTGTCCGTCCTCATCAGCTCTGACACATCTGAGCCCACTGCCGCCATCACTGTGTCAGTCCAGCTCGTTGAGGGTCTTCCTCTGACCTTTCCTAGCATGGTAGCCCTCTCCAAGGAACATCCCCGAATTACAAGAATTGAAGCGTTGTCCTCCCTGCCTCCAAGGACCACTCTGCTTTCCCTTTTTCCAAGAAGTATCTCTACAGCTCCCTTACAGACACCCCCAGCCAAAGCCATCAAGTGATTCTGACTTAGATTTACCCCGTGGGGCGAGCAGACCTGCCCCATCGGGTTTCCAAGGCCGTCACCTTTACAGAAGCAGCCCACCTCTTCTTTCTCCCTCAAATCAAGAACCTTTCAGTTCGCAGCCAAGCATTTAACTGGTGCCCACCTGGCTGGCACTTAGCAATGTTCTAATCTCTTCTGAATAACCCTGTGGCATCTAAGCAATTCTTCTTGACCTCGACAGAGGGTCAGCACCAAGCATTGCACTCACGTCTTGACATGGGCACGCTTGCCTGTCTCAAGCCTTCCGATTGTGGTTCTGTTCTCCAAACTCACAGACGTTGTTAGCAGGGTGGATGGCCCACTCTTTGGGAATGCAGTTAGTCTGCTGCTGGACACTTGAACTTGGGCAGCAGCGTGGTCTGCTCGTCCTAACAGCATGGCTGTTGGGAGCTGTGGTTCAGTGTGTACCGGGCCTCGTTTCTCAGGTCCGGGCACTGCTCTCTGGCTTGAACAATCTGGACAGAGGATATGAGTGTGGTTTAGTCCCTCTTCCGTCCCTGCCAGTTATACTTGAAGACAGATGTGAGCTACAGCTGCTGTGGCCCACAGAGACGAGCCCTGTTACTGGCAAAGGGCCTGGCTGGGCCTGGGCTCAACTCTGAGCTGGACATGTGAAGCAGTTACAAAATAGAGGTGCCCTCCGTGATGTGCTCAGTGGCTCTTAGAAGTCACCAGGACTTTCTAACAAGGCACCTCTTTGTGGGTTTGAACCACCAACCTTTCGGCTAATAGCCAGACCTTGAATTGTTTGCACCATCCTTTGGTGGGCTTTTCCTGTGAGGGTACAAAGACATTATCTTGGGTGTATGGAGCCAGGGTCCCCATCTGGTGTGTGTAGGGTCAGGCCCACGCGATAGCCTCTCACATCAGCAAAATCGGTTCTCGTTAACTGGTGATTGTGTTCACCCCACAGTCAGGCCAGGAGAATATTACAGCACCTCTCTGAGGATGTGCTCTGCCGGAGCTCGAGGGACTGACTAGTTCAGGAGTCTCTGGGTGGTGAAAAAGGGCCTGAGAGACACCTTAATTATGGAACTGCTAAATGAGAAAATTAGTGGTTTGAACTCACTGGTTGCTCTGTGGACTACCCTTTGTGCTGTTCTGTGGACTGTTCTGTGGGTTGCCCTGTGATCTGTTCTGTGGTCTGTTCCGTGGGTTGTCCTGTGGACGGTTCTGTGGTCTGTTCTGTGGGTTGCCCTGTAAATTGTTCTGTGGACGGTTCTGTGGGTCTCCCTGTGGACTGTTCCGTGGGTTGCCCTGTGGTCTATTCTGTGGGCTGCCCTGTGGACTATTTTGTGGACTGCTCCCTGGGCAGCCCTGTGGCCTTTTGGACAATTCTGCACCAGCCTATAGGCTCACTCAGTTGAAATTGACATGATGGCATCAAGTTCAAGTTTTTTGAACAATGCAGGTGGTTAATGCCTTTGGCTACTAGCGGCAAGGTTGGAAGTTCAAACCCACCCAGAGATGCGGTGGAAGACAAGCCCAATGATTAATGTCCCAAAATTCACCCGCTGTCACTGCCATGGGGCACGCTTCTGCTGCAATCCGTTCAGGGGTGCCCTGCGTCTGAGGCAGCTCCAGGCGCTTCTTTCTTTCACGCACCCCCCAAAAGTGATTGGCAGTCTTTCCCTCAGTTTAGTACGTGGCTGAAGGCTCCTGGTGACACCACCCGGGAGTGTTGGGTTCTAAGAAGGGCGGGCTGTGGTTGGAAGTGCTGTCTTGCTCCCTGGTGCTTTAGCTGGAGTGGGGGCGAAAGTCTGTCTTCATTCCGAGGGTCCCCACACTGCCCATCGCCCCACGCCTTCCACCCTGCGTGGACTGCCTGTGCCAGTGTCCACACTGTCTGTCTAGAACATGCTGGGGGCAGCCTGCCTTTTCTCAGACAGCCAGGTCATGTGAGGTATGTCGGCAGCCCTGCTCTGCCCAGGCAGCTGGTGGGCACAGTGGCCCTGTATCCTCCCCCACACCCCCCAGCATCAGTTGAAGGAAAGGGGTCTGACTAGTGGACTTTGTACGGAGCCTCTCGGTCCCACTGACCCATCATCTGTCTCAGACCCCAGAAGCGCACCTGTCTTTTCACGGAATCATTTCAGGGGACCGGGAGGTAGGACGCCCAGGATCTGATTGGTGGTAGTCAGTTGTCCTCACGACCGTACATTCTGAGGTGAGGTGAGGGGCCCCGGTGTCTGTCCCCACTGTTCACGCCACCACCGACCCAGTGCCCCAAGGGGAAGCGTTACCGTTTCCTCAGCTCAACAGTTCACTCCTTCATGCCATGCCCTCAGACACCAGCTCCCCTCAGGACTCTGACGGCCCCTTCCTGCTCGGGCAGCGGCCACCACCCCCTAGCACCCCCATCCCCAGTTTCCTCCTCTGGCCTCCTTCTTAGGTGCACACCTGGTTATGTTATCCCTTAAGAATGTTCTAGAATTTCCTTGGGCTTGTCTGATGCCAGAGTTTCCAGCATCAGAAACAGAGTTTTTGCTTCCTCAGCCCCTATGACTTTTCCACTTTGCTTTCCAAACCCCAGCTGTTCCTTCTGTGTCTGACCTCCACCCCTCCACTCCGTTCTTTCTCGACTGTGGCTCACACGTCCAGCCTTCACCACGTGACCCGTGTGTGTCCTCTCGGCCAGGTCTGCTGCTGTCCTGTGACTGAGAGGAGGCAGCTCTGGGGCCGGAGGGTCAGAGGGATTCCTGGTGACCAGACACAGGCTATGCGTGCCTGGGGAGCTGTCCTCACGGAGTGGGCCCTCTGGATGGGTCATGGCATTGAGGGCCCCATCTACAAGGTTCACCTCACTGAGGGCCTCATCTACTCAGGTGTCTCACCTCATGAAGAGTCCAGTCCTCATCTAAGGTAGTGCACCTCACTGAGGGGTCCATTTAGAAGATCACCGCATGAGGGTCTCCTGTAAGTGGTCCCCTTTACTGCGTCTCATCCAGACGGTCACCTCGCTGAGTGCCACAGAACTCCTGAAATTGTCAAACTCTTCAGCTGCCCCCTCAGCTGCCCCCACAAAGTAGGAGAAACCAGCAAAGCCATTTCAAAGCTCTCAGCTAAAGGGTCTTCCCTGGAGGCCTTGGGTGGTGGCTGAGATTCCCTCCTTGTGACCCGCTCAGAGGTCTCTTCAGGGGGCCTCTCTTCAGGCAAGTGAGTGTTCTAGCACCTTCTGTGGGCAGGATGCTGTAACAGAGCGTCCCATTTAATGTGGTCGCCTCCCCTCTCTGTGCTCCCAGCAACGGCCAGGGCTCTCAGGGGTTCACACAGCCTCACTGCAGTGACAGGCCCCGGCACTTAGCGGCGTTCCCCCCACTGCGTCCGGCGCAGGTATGCTCAGGTGTGTCTTAACCTGCGGAAGAACAAGTATGGTGGGAAGGGGGGCCACGTAGGGGCATTTGAGTGTGTGGGGGAAAAATTTCCTTTTTTCCCTCATTTATTTTCGGGGTTTTTTTTTGAGAACGGTATGTTTTTTCATAATGAGGTTCCATACGCAACCCCAGGTGGTCTCCCCAGCCAATCCTGGCAGGTAGATGAAGAGACTGAGGGTCAGAGAGGTGAACCGAGTTTCCCCATCAGCCCAGCTGAGGCCACAGAGGGCCGGGACGAGAACCCGGGTCTTCTGACACCACTGTTCTTTCTACTCTACCGCAGGTATAACGTGGAGAAGGTGCCCGGTAATTCTCAGTTGGAAATAGAAGGAAACAGGTCAGGATCTGTCTTGTATGGCGTGTCTCTAAACACAGGTACCCTTGGTTCATGCAGTGGCCCGATGGGTCACAGGTCACCTGGGCAAGCTCTGTACTCCCCGTCGCCTCTCCTCTGGGCTGGGACGGAGGCTGGGATCCTGGGGTGCCTGCCGGCCTCGGGACGTGGCATATGCCTCGTTGTATTTGTGTCCATTCTACAAGCAAGGAGGACTCTGTTGGTGCTGTGGTTAAAGCACCTTGTTGAGAACCAAAAGGCTGGGGGTTCGAACCCACCCATCGCTGCGGGGAGGTGACATGGCAGCGTGGTCCTGTAGAGATGCACGTCCAGCCTTGGGGCCCCACGGGGTGGTCCGTCTCGTTCCTTCCAGGTGTCTGTGAGTCAGAATCGACTGGGCAGCAGTGGGGTTTGGATTCTGCAGATGTGCTTGGTGGCGAGGCCTGGCGCTTTGGGACGCTGGTTTCTGTTGGTTCGATGTGCTGGGCCACCCAGCTTGTGCTGCCCGGGGGGAGAGACTTGATGTCCAGTGCCTGCGGGCGCTCGAGGTCCTGTGGAACCTGCAGGAGGCAACGGCCTCTGTGGCTGCAGCCCAGGACTGGCCTTGTCTCGGAGGGACAGGGCACGCAGGTCTTCTGTCTGCACGTGGCTCAGGGCTTCCAGGTGTGACTCCTGGGTCTGCCTGCTGCACTGGGCCTGATCTTACCTGTCAACCTGCAGGTGGCTGCAGCGCTTAGCATCCTTCAGGATCAGCCGGGAGGGACTCTGGAGAACAGGCAGACATTGCGCTTTGCAGATCTGCTCTCTGCTTTGTTAGAGGTCTGTGGCAGGCGTGCGTGGAGCAGGTTTTCCAGCCGCATGTGCCCACGTGGCATCTGTGTCCCCTGTTGGTCATCCTCACAGTATCGGGGCTTGTTCATCTTGGGATGCTCACTTCACACACTAGGGAGTGTGTTAGGATCACTTGTCTGGGTGCTGGGGAACCACACGCTTCCCGAGACTCATTTACTGGGTGTTCCGTCCTCTCTGGGGTCTCGGACCAAACCCTCAGCTTCTGCAGGTGTTAATGGAACAGAAGCAGCGCTCTCCTCCCCTGCCTCCTACGCTGAGGCAGCCTGCATTTTTTTTTAATATCACTAAGCTATTTTTGCCATCTGTACTCTCATTTGGTCAGTTGGCCAAATAATGCCCTTTCCATCTTTTTTATTTTTTTGGCCAGCAGCGTAGGACCCATTCTAAGGCCAAGGCAAAGAATTGAGGCTGGACTCTGAATTTCAGAGTGTATACTGTTATCTGGCTGTAACATTCTTTAAGTAAGGATCTAAAAACCTGAGGGGGTGGCCTTGTATCTGTGTCCACCATGAGGAGGCCTAGGATGGTACCAACAGTTAAGCGTTCGGTTAATAACCAGAATCTGATACTTTAGACCCACCCCAGGGCACCTTGGAAGAAAGGCCTGGCCATCAGCCAGGGATGGATGAGATGGATTGGTCCAGTGATGGGGGCAATGGAGGTGGGTGTCTCGGAATCAGACTGGCCCAGGACAGGGCAGGCTTCAGGGTCGCTGTGGGTTGCAAGGCCAGTCGACAGCTCATAACAACCACCTCCACCTCCACATGGGGAAGGTCACAGCCTTGAAACCCTGCGGAGTACAGTTCTTCTCGGCACGTGAGGCCACTGTGGTCCGTCCTAAGTCCATGGCCACAGGCTGTGACCTACTAACTGCTCCACGAGACGATAGGGAACCTCCTCTTGTGTGAGTTACTGCCTTTGAGACCCTGTGGGAGGGTCAGCTGTGGACTGGTTCCGACTCGACAGTGCCTGTCAACAAATGCAGTGAAGGAAGGGGAAGCTCGATGGCTCAGTGGGTAGGGAGTTGCGCTGCCAACCCCGAGACAGGTGATTCAAATCCACCAGCTGCCCCTCAGGAGAAACGTGGACACTCCTCCTGCATGATGAACAGCCTCTGAAAACCGCTGGAGGGTCAGTTATGGGTCGGTTCCCACCTGACCACAGGGGGTTACGGTGACAAGGATGCCAGTCTTTGCTATTTTTCGGTGGTAGTGAGGTGATGTTTGGTAAACACTGATCGATAATGGAAGCCAGACAGATCACAGTGTCTGCTGAGATGCGTCAGGAGTCACGCTCCATTTTCACCAGAATGAGGTCTGGATTTGACTTTGGGGATGGAAACTGCAAACACCAGACTTTACTGGTCTGTTTGAATAACAAACCCACTTGGGTAAACTGTGAGTTGGGCTGCTGTCTGTAAGGTCAGGGGTTTGAATCCAGCAGCCTCTCTGTGGCAGGAAGATGGGCGTTCTCCTCCTGTGAAGACCCGGGGCCTCAGAAGTGCAGTGGAGGGTGCCTGTGAACTAGACCCAGCGAGACAGCAGTGGGGTTGTTCTCCGTGGAACGTTTCTGTTGAGAATTCCTTGTTCATATGGAAGATGAGCTCTTATTCAGGACAGGGAAATACGTATCAGAAGGTGAAATGATAAAGGACCTTAGTCATGGAGAGGCGAGTGAGTAGGTCTGGACTAGTGGGGGAGTCATAAAAGGAGTCACTGGCCATTGGCCTTGGGGGGGTCCCAGGAGCAAGGCTGTCCCAAAGGGAAGCAAAGGCCATTTTGCAGAGAAGGGGGACGTATCCTGGCTGCCTGTCCAGATGGAGAAATGTGAAGCTGGAAAACCAGCTGTCACAAGAAGACTTCTCAGATAGCTCCTGGGCCATTGTGCACGTCCTCCTGGCCTGAGGATTTCAGGGCTGAGTTTTCACAAGTAGGTGGACGTTCCTAGTGTGGATGCTTGGCGGAAAACTGTGCCCTTTCTGAGAAACACACATGACTCCAGGGTCAAAGGGTGCAGAACACATAAGGTGCTTCAGCGGGCAATTAAACCCAAGTCTCTCGCATGGAGGTTGAGAACTCTTCCCCTGAATTGGTCACACTCTACTCCTTGTCACCCACTGCCACCAAAAACCATGGCTGAAAGGAAGAGTGTGCCAGGCACAGGTGTGCAAAGCCAAGAGGGGCTTCTAACCATCAGTCAGAAAGCCATGTCATCTGTTGGAGAGGCTGAAGATCCCACTGTCCATGGGGTGTCCATGGCTGGGCGCTGGGATCGCAGCAGGTGGCAATGACCTGTTCTCAGGAGAAGGTTGGGAGTGGGAGGATGGGACACCCCAAAAACCAAACCCAGTGCTGTCGCTTCATTTCTAACTCGTACAACCCTGTAGGACAGCGTTGAATCGCCTTATAGGACTCTCACAGGGAGCTCTGGTGGCTTAGCGGTAAGTAATTGTGCTGCCAGCCCAAATGTTTGCAGTTTGAATCCACCAGCTGCTCCGTGGGAGAAAGATGAGCGGTATTCTTCTGTGTGATTTACAGTCTCTGAAAACCCGCTGGAGGGTCAGCTCTGGGTGGGTTCCGGGTCCCTGGTACGTAGAAAACAGCAGAGGGGCTCCCAGGCCGTGGTGCTTGTGGCAGAAGGACTACCACACGCCTCCCACGAAATAGCTAGTGGACGTGACTGCCAAGCTTTCCATCAGAGGCCAGGCACTTAACCACTGTGCCCGCCGAGTACCTGGGTCAGTTAACTTTGACAGCCCCAGCTTCTCTCATGTTCTAGTATTGGCCCTGAGTCTCAGGACGTGCAGCCCGCTTCTTTAAAAGCACATATAGCTATGAACTGTTCCCCTTAAAAGGTTTGCCCTTTCTCGAGCTTCAGACCAAGACTTCTGCACCTTCTCTGCCTCTTAGACATTGCTATCTTGGTCTCACTGGTCTGAACATCTATTTGTTTAATATTTTCTTGCTTTTAAGGTTAGATGCCCCACTGTAAAGTAGTTTGCCATTAAACAGTTTCTACATACCAATGACCTTGCTTGTGTCACTCTCCACATCTCATTTTTTCTTATTCTGTCTGGTGGTTCCGTTTCTAGTACTCTAGTTTCCCTGCTCCTGTAACATCACATCTTTGCGGTAGAGTGATTGCTGGTGACCTTTTTATCTCCTTATGGTTGGTTTTCTTTAAGAGATTCAGTACTCACGGATGTTGTTTGTGTATCACAGAGTTGGAACCAGCCCACAGCTAATCCTCCAGCAGGTTTGGGGTTTTTTTAAATTTTTTAAAAATTTTATTTTTTATTATCTTTTGTGTGTGTACCATCAAATCAGATCTGACTGGTACAGGAGGAGATTGTCCCTCCTTCTCCAGCAGAGCATCTGGTGGATTCAAACCGCATACCTCTGGGATTGCAGTGCAGCTTTTTTGCCACTAGGCCACCAGAACTCCCTCCAGCAGGTTTTCAGCAGCTGGTAGATTCGAACTACGTGCCTTCAGGATTGCAGCACAGCTTCTTGCCACTGGGCCACGAGAACTCCCACTCATGGATGGTAGTCTTTCTTTTATGGGCCAGTCTTTTATCTTAAAAACCTCCAGGAGTAATTTCAGGTTGAGGTTTAAACATTGTTTTAGGGAAATAATCTTGAGCAGCTTCTTAGTCTCAACCAGCCTGTAAGTCTGGCTTTTTAGGAATTTCACTTCTCCTCCACGTTTTTCTGTCATTCTCTCAGCGTCCCCCTGCAGTGACGCTGATCAGAATGGTCAGTTGTGGTCAGTGGGTCACCATCTAGTTCTGATCTCGGACCATGAGGACGTGGCTTGTGGAGGCTGTTAGTCTGGTGGACCCACATCTTTTCCGAATCTTGGGGTCCCTTCTTTCCTTCTGCCCAGATGAGCAGAGACCAGTAGCTGTGTCTGCCTCCAGCTGCTGCTTGTTCACCAGCAACATGCAGGAGAGGTGACCTGGTGATAGAACAGCTAGGTACTCAGCTGCTACCCAGAAGGTTGACAGTTCAATCCCACCTATAGCTCTGCTCCTGTCCCGAGCACAGCCTCAGAAACCCCATGAGGCAGTTTTAGTCCATATCAAAATTGACAGCACTGCCACTCACCGCTGTACAAAGCAAAGATGGGCTTGTAATCTGTCGATAGAAAAATGACACCATCTGTTGGTGGTGCCGAAAATGACACCTCCAGGATGTCACCAGGGGGCCTAGTGTGGAACTGAGGGTCACCAAGCGGCCCTGACTGAGAGCTAAAAGGCCTTGAAGAATTTGAGTCACTGAACAGAACACAGGAAGCTTAAGATTCCCATGTCCCTCATGTGGCCTTGCAGATGTCTTGTTTTTCAAACAGGTAAAACGGTCCTGTGTTGAGATCTCAGAATCAGTGAGAGGAGAGCGCAGTCCCAAAACTGTGCCAAGGATGACAGTATACAAGACAGCGTGTGTCGCCGACTGCAGGCTGTGATTTATGGAGGGACAAAGGGACCTCTCAACCTGGGAAAAGGGGGCCAGAGATGCTGGCAGAGGGAGGATGCACACCTCAGCTCTTGCCACCATCACAGAAAAGCCTGGTTCCCCGGCACCCTCAGGCTGCAGAGCCCCCCCCACCCCGCCCTCTCCCCGGCTTTAGCATTCATGAGGCCCATGTATGCATTAAAAAATAAAATAAAACCAAACAGTGACCCAGTGTAGCAGAAAAGCCCGCCCGTGCTTTCCACAGGGTGTTCGGCTAATTTATGCAGCCCCTTTGCACTCCGGCATGTTCCCCACCAGTTGCTAGGCAACTGTGTGAGTTACTGCGCATGCCTTTTTATGATAACTGTCTTTATGATTATTTTTTAATTATACAACTGGGACGGGGGATGAAAACAGCGGATTGTCATTCCTGCTCTGCCGCTGCATGTCCCAGAATCGCCCTCTCAAACACTGATTTTCTTTCTTTCTTTTTGGCATTTCTTTCTTGACAAAGGACTGGGAGGTGTGGCATCTTAAAGGGAGGGCTGTGAGATTGTGTGTGTGTGTGTGTGTGTGTAGAACGACTCCATATTACCTTGAAAGCTATTATTGATCTACACAGAGCGAGCCCAATATTGGGGTCTTGAGGCCGAGTTATGAATACCTCTGTTCCTTTAACCACGTCTGCTTCAAGGACTAACTGATGCTCACTGCTCCTGTGGACGCCCTGTAGTTCCCTGCTTCCCAGCTGAAGAATGCTAGGCATTTGTGCCTCTGAGAGCTGGTGCGATGAAATCCCAGTTGAGTTTAGAGGAAGGCACAGCCCTGAGCTGAGGATCACGAGACACCTGCACTTGTTAAATGCATTTAGCCTTTTTCTGCACAAATTGCTGCATACACGCACACACACACTCTGCGCACACGGGGAGGGAGAGAGAAGTACACTTGGGCAGGAGGAGGGGCTTTTTCAGGCACACAATCACCAAGGTATGAGTGTGGCTGCCGTGTGAAAAATGCAAGAACACGACCAAGGAACCCTGCAGTCTCTCGTCTGCACAAAAGCTTTTCATTTGCATTTCTAGAACATATTCTAGCATGTTATTTTGAATGACTCCCTTCCTCACCGGGGAGTGAATTTGAGGACAAAGGAGTATGGAAATCGTCTCTGGGTTTTGTTTCACAAACTCACATTATTTCTCATTTACAAATGCAGTTTTGGGTTGTATTAGATTATTTCGCATATTTCTGTCAAAATGAAACCCGAAGCTAGCTTGGAAAAAAAGAAATGTACGGTGGGTTTTTCACACATTGTATGTGGACTGGATGTGGGGGGCTCAGGACATTGTAATGGGACTTTGAAGTAAGTACTAGGGGCTTTTAACCTCCAGTCTACTTATGGGTTGTCCTTGGTTTAATGAGCCCCATGTCTCTGTGCACAAACCCTGAGTAGTACAGATAGTTGGCACTTAAGGTTGGAGGTTCGTGTCCACCCAGAAGCACCTCAGAAGAAAGGCCTGGCAATCTCCTGGGTGGGAAAAAAATCCATCTCCAGAAATTGCGTGGAGCTCGGTTCTACCCTGAACACGCTGGGTTGCTGTGAGTCAAACCGACTCCACAGAGGCTGGTTTCGTGTCTGTCTGCGTGGCTGTAATTTGTTCGATTGAAGTTTTCTGGAAATGATCCTCCTCAGGGGTGCTTGATTTTTTGTTTTGTTTTGTTTTCTTTGTGTTTGTCTTTTTTTTTTTTTACCCCGCACCCCACAGTTCAGGGCGGCAGCTCAGCGAAGTCTTCATCCAGTTACCTTCCAGGAAAGAACTTCCCGAATACTACGAATTAATTAGGAAGCCCGTGGATTTCAAAAAAATAAAGGTAACTGTTTTGTTCACAAACTTCTTTTCCCCGTTTAAGTGAATAAACTCAAGAACTCAACTCATTGTTGTAAAGTCGGTCGCAGGTGGCCTAGTCAGTAAGGAGTTGAACTAACCTAAAGGTGGCATCTCTGGTGGTTCGAATCCACCACCAGCAGCTGCATAGGGGAAAGATAGACAGTCTCCTCCTGTGCGAGTCCAGCCTCAAAAACCTGCTGGAGGGTCAGCTGTGAGTCAGTTCCACCTCCACCACAGTGACTTTGACTTTGTAAATCACAGAGGAGATGATGCATCTTTCTTCAGAGACCATAAGCCCGTGGTCCCCTCTGGCTGCCAGTGACCCCCACCCAGGATTTGTCAGGGAATTAGCCAGGGAATCCTGGTCCTTTAATGTGATCATGGCTGTGAGATGGAGCGCTCCTGTTATGTCGTCTTGTACTTTATTGAAGATCTCTCCGATTTCTCTCCACCCTCTTCCCTCTCCCCTTACCAGAGGACAGTTAATGCAGGGGTTCCCTGTGAGGGGCTCCCCTGGGTGGTAACAGCTTCTGATGCTGTGAAGACAGACGGGGAGCCCGGCTTTGTGAACCCAGAAATGATGGTTGTGTCTTCTCTTCCTCCTCTGCTTCATCCCCGACTTCTCTAGGAACGAATCCGTAACCACAAGTACCGGAGCCTGGGGGACCTGGAGAAGGACGTCATGCTTCTCTGCCACAATGCTCAGACCTTCAACTTGGAGGGCTCCCAGGTCTGTCTTCAGTGGACTGTCCTTTCAGAGTGTCTGTGTTCTCTCAGAGGAGCTCAGGGAGCAAGTGTGTAATACATTGATTGGGCTCCTGACCAAGAGGTTAATGGTTCTAATCCATTTGCAGCCTTTTAAGCAGTTACATCATGGAGACAGTACTTATTACAGCAGTCACCCAGAGCAAACCAAAAGGGAAACGTTGGTCCAGGGACAGAGCCGACAAGATGGGAAAGGATAGGACAGAGTGACGAGTGGATAGAGGAAACAGGGCAGGGGTGCGAAGTGTGCTGTTACGTTGAGGCAGCCAGTGTCACAGAACAGAATGTGTATGGGTCATCGAATGGAAAGCCGATTTGCTCTGTACACTTTGATCAAAAGCACTCTAGAAAGTTGGGACGGGTTTGTTGGGGTTTCTTTTTTCCTTTTTAAAAAGGATTTCTTGTCTTGAAACCCTTCAGGGCAGTTCTGCTGTGCCCTGTAGGACCACAGTGAGTCCGGCACAGCCTCACAGCATCAGAGGTTTTTGTTTTATTTTAGTGTTCTTTTCAGCGAAGTCTTTCCATTCCTGCCACTTGAATCATTGCTGCCACCCTGGCAGAAGAAAAAGGGGTGGAGGACCTGTATTCTCTGCTCCCCAGGGGCATTCGTTGAAGCCTTGGCATTTTCAAATTACCATGAGCTCCTTTGTACCAGAGCTATGCCAATTCCTCCTCATACTTCCCTCAAGGCTTGGCTTCTAATTAGAGGAAGAATTCAATTAAAACATTTAAGGTGATGCTTAGAGGCACTGCAGGTTTTCTGCTCGTATCGAGATTATGTATTTGATGATATTTTACCTTCATTTTTCTGACTGTAGCCTGGCACTAGGATTTGAAACTGCTGCAATTTAAAACAAAACAGAATGTAGGGTGAAAGCTACGGCCTCTACCCCGGAGCAGGAGGCCCCATGCCCACTGCTGTCCTGTGCTTTCTGGCTTGTAGCTGCCCTGGAGAGGCTGTGAATCGGTATGGACGGAGGCTGCCTCGTTTGTTTTCCCTGGAGCTGCTGTTGCATTTGAACCACTGGCCTTTTAGTTACTAATTGAGTGATTTAACCACTGCACTACCTAGGCTCCTTCACTCCCTCCAGTGCTGTAAGAAAAGCCTTATCAGGCCAGTTGTGATTCTTATTCCTCTTCCGTGAGCAGGTCTAAGGGGAAGTACGTGCCTTGGAATGTGTTAAAAGAACCAGGAAAAGGACTTTATTTCACTTCACTTACACTAACTTTTCCTAAGAATTGACTTTCTCCTGTGGATATTTCTGTCTGTGGAGCCTTGGGTGGTGATCTTAGTGGTTAACAGGTGCCATGAAGAGGACTTCTGTTCAGACCTGTGAACAGAGCACAGCCTATCTCTGTGCTGTGTCACCTCCACTGCTAGGTAACATGGCTGCTAGCCAAAAGGTTAGCGGTTCGAGTGTATCCAAAGGTCCCTCAGAAGAAAGGCGTGGTGATCCACTTCCTGAAGATCATCCACTGAAAACCCCATGGGGCGTAGTTCTCCTCTGACACATTGACTCCGACTCCAAGCCATTTGACTGTCAGGAGTATGTCTGGCACAGAGTTTCCTGGGAAGAAGAAGAAGAAAAGATGGCCAGCCACGGTCCTGCTGACCAGGCGATGCTGTGCCAAGCTGCTGTGAGCTTCCTCAAGCCTCTGGCCCGGTCCTGCTGTATTTTCACATCCATCCCGGTCACAAGCTCAGGGACGCGGGCATCCTCAGAGCGTGACAACAGACTTTGTTTCCGAGTTCAACGACTGGTGACAGTGGTGACGTGCCCGAGACAGGAGCGCACAGCAAGTCTGCTGGCTTGGACACAGCCTTTAACAAGAATTCAGAGAGGTCAGCGCTCAAGAGACAAAGTCCAGGCGTTGGCTAAGAAGCCTTTTGTAAATGATGATGATTTTTGCCCCTGCCAGAGGTTTTCAGTTCCTCATATTAACATGGGGGGCCTCATGGCAACTCAAAGGCCTGTGGTTCAAATCTACCCGCTGCTCTGTAGGAGAAAGGTGATTGGCAGTCTCCTCCCATGCGATTCACTGCCTCTGAAAACCTGTTTGATGGTCAGCTATGAGTTGGTTCCAAGGCCACAGTTCACCGTAACAGCCTATCAACATGGCATTATCAGTGATGATACCTGTCTACTTCATTCCGCACCCCACGAGCGTCCTCCCTGCCCACATTCTCACCCCTCACCACTGAGATGGCCTGAGGCGCCACATGCCTGGCTTCCCTCGCTGCTGACGGTCATTGTTGTGGCCAGTGACAATCCATCTCATTAAGGGTTTCTCTTTCTCAGTGACTCTGCCAGGACTGTTCAGAGTGAATGTAGGTCTGTAAACTGTTTTCTGGAGTGGTACTCTAACGTAGGACTCTCTGGGTGATGGCCCTTGTTGGTTTTAGATACCACTGAGTCAAGTACGACTTACAGCGACCCTGTGGATAACAGATCTGAGCCCTGTCCTCTCCTGTGCCATCATCATCTCCGACACACTTGAACCCACCCGCTGCAGTCACTGTCAGTCCATCTCGTTGAGGGTCCTTTCTTTCACCGACCCTCCCCCGTTTCCAAGATGATATTCTTTCCCAAGGAATAGCCCCTCCTCAAAACATGCTTGAATTATATGAGACGAAGCTTTACTATCCTGCCTCCAAGGAGCCCCCCAGACTACAACTTTTCCAAGACATACCTGTTTGCTCTTTTGTCAGTCCAGAGTGTATTCAGTACTCTTCTCCAACACCACAGCTCAAGGGCATCTTTTTCTGTCATCTTTATTCATTGTCCAGCTCTCAAATACATACCAAGTGATTGGAAAGACCGTGATCTGGATCAGGTGCACCTTGACTTTAAACTGACATCATTGCACCTCAGTAATTTGGAGATGTCCCTGACTGCAAACTCCCAGTGCAATGCATCTCCTGGTTTCCTGACTGCTGTTAACCAAGAGTGTTGATTATGGATCCAAGTAAGATGCAATCATTGGCAATTTAAATCTTTTCTCCACCTATTATTATGTTGCCGATTGGTCCAGTGGTGAGGATACTAATCTTCCTGGTATTGAGATGTAACCCATATTGAAGGCTGTGTGCAGTCTTTGATTTTCTGCACCAAGTGCGACAGCTCACTTTCAGCAAGCAAGGTTGTGTCATCTGCATGGTTGTTGATGAGTCTTCCTTCAATCAAGAAGAGTGATGACTTCTAACCCAAAACCTGGTGGTGGGAACTCAACCAGAGGCTGAAGAAGGAAGGTTGACCATCTAAAGAGCTAACCGCTAGAGGCCCTGTGGACACTGTTCTGTTCGGATACCCAGGGGCGATTGTGAACTGGAATTGCCTGGCAGCCACCGGGACATTTAAACCTGAACTTCCTCTTTGACTTTACTCCAGCAGCCCCTCAACCTGAGCAGACCCTGGTCCAGCCATCCTGCTCCTGTGCACACCTGCTGCCCCGATGCACTTTATTTTTTACTAGTTTATTTACAAAATTCTAATATAAATTTGAGCAAATTCTTTCAATTTCCCTCACCCTCCCACCCATAAAATTGTGCAACCCAATAATTAATCCCCCCTCCCCCTGTACATCCACATCCCTCTCCTTCCAGCCTCTCCCACCCCTCCTGAATCTTTATACTCATTCTACAATAAGGGTCTTATACAATATTTATCCTTATGGGACTGAGTTCATTCACTCACCATAATCCTTTCCAGTCCCTCCCAAGTTAGGTAATAATTTACAAATTTATTGCTCCTGCATGCTGCATAGTATTCCATTGTGTGAATGTACCATAATTTCTCAATCCATTCGTTTGTGGTTGGACATTTGGGCTGTTTCCATGTTCTTGCGATGGTGAATAATGCTTCTGTGAACACTGGTGCACAAATCTCAGTACGTGCCTCAGTCTTCATATTCTCAGGGTATATTCCAAGTAGTGGAATAGCTGGGTCAGATGGAATTTCTATGTTCAGCTTTTTGAGGAAGCTCCAAACTGCCTTCCAGAATGGTTGCACCATTTTACAATCCCAACACCAATGTATAAGAGTTCCTTTCTTGCCACGTCCTCTCCAACATCTATTACTTGCTGCCCTGTTAAACTTTGCCACTATTACTGGAGTGAGATGGTACCTCATTGTGGCTTTGATTTGCATCTCTCTTATTGCCAGTGATTTGGAGCATTTCTTCATGTGTCTGTTTGCCATTCTGTTATCTTCCTCTGTGAAAATTCTTTTCATGTTCTTTGCCCATTTTGTAATTGGGTTATCAGTCTTTTTCTTGTGGAGGCCCAGGGGTATTCTGTAAATTTTGTCATAAGACTCTTGTCTGAGATGGAATTACCAAATGTTTGTTCCCAGTCTGTAGGTTTTCTTTTCACCCTGTTGGAAAATTTTTTTATATGCACAGAGATTTATCTTTAGAATGTTCCATGCATCAATTTTATCCTCTTTAGATTTTGCATTTCTAGTAGTATTTGGCAGTCTCTGTATACCTCATTTTGAGATAATTGTAGGTTTAGATGCAACTGAAAAGTAGTGATTATTAATAGAGAACCTATCAGCCCTTCACCGCTTCCCTACGTCTTAAACGCTGTCGTTTGTTGCCATCAAGTCTCCCCTGATTTGTGAAGACTGCATGTGTTCCTGAGGGCTGTAGGGTTTTCTCAGCCGTCATCTTCATGGAAGCAGATTGCCAGGTCTTTCTTCCGTGGTACCACTGGGAAGATTCGAGCTGCCAGACTTCAGGTTTAAAGTTGACCACATACTGTCTGGCCCATTTGAGAACCTTCACCAGTTACATTCCCATGGTGAACTGTCACAGGAGGAAGTTGACACTAACAGGCCTCGCCCCCTTTCTGGTCCTTCTCCTTCCTCAGCCCTCGTCACACATGAGTTCCAGCCCTCAGCTCTGATGTCTCTGCAAGGTCTGCGTCCACAGCACTCTCTCCCAGAGATAATCTCTTCTCCAGCAGGACGCCCTGCCTTTGCCATTCGTTGGTGTCCATCTGGTCGTTTTCCAGAATGCAGAGGCCACCTCTGCTACAATCGTCTCAGACAGCAAGGACCGTGTGTGAGCGGTGTGTCCCTTCAGCTCCTCTGCATAGCTTTCTCTGGGCACGTGCCCCGCAAAGCACACGTTGAGTGGATGCACGTCAGCTTAGTGATGAAGCTGGTACCAGAAGTCTCCAGTTTGATTGAAGAATTGCCCTTTGGTTAAAAGCACACGTGCTGTGAGCTGTACCACTAGACCTTCTGAAGAAGAATCGCATTTTCAAAGTTACTTTACTTGGTAGTGTTAGAGTGGCAAGAACTTGCACCGCACTCGCTCAGGCACGCAGTTTAAATCCACCAACTGCTCCACAAAATAGATCAACAGTTGCTTCTCGTGCAGTTTCCTGCCTTTGAAAACCCGCTGGAGGAACCACTGTCCGTTCCAATGTGAAGGCACATACCATCAACAGAATAGTTGATGAAATCTTTTAAAGAAGAAGCGTTTATCTTTTTTAAAAAATGTTATCTAAGATGAACAGATATATTACAGAGGTTCTGTCTCTGCCCTGAAATAAAAACACACAAAATATTTCAACTCTATATAGACTTCTTTCTCCTGTAAAAATAAATATGTCTGTCCCATATCTAGGTTTGGTGTTTTGCCATTGGGTCGTCACATAAACATTTAGAGTGGATGTTGGCTTTTCTACTAAACCCAGTGAACTAAAAAAAGGATGCATTATGTAAAAAGGGCATGTAGTCTGATAAGAGAACCTAGATAGAAAAGTGCTAGTCAAAAAGGGGCAAGTGTGGGATGGGTTTCGAGTTTTTACAAACTAGATTTTCTGGAGTGTGGGGGATGGGATGGCCCGCTGGTGATTCATCCATCCTCTCTTGATGAACCTTGAATAGAAAATAACCCCTAACGTCTTTTTTAAACCAAGCAATAGTTTAGCTTAGTTGGTACATGTTATCTGCTTTGAGTACATTTTGATCTTCTAATGAAGTATCTAAATGCGATCAAATTAACAACCGCAATTGCAAAGATTAGACTGGGAGATCGTGGAGAACAGTGAGTTCTTGTTAATGGAGAGAGAGGCTGAGAACGGCAGCCTGAGTGAAGCATGTCATCAGTGTCACTGAATGCTCCATGTGGAAAACGCAGAATTGACAAATATTTTATATATACTTTCCCCACAATAATTGTTTATTTTTTAAAAAATCTGTTTTATTTGAGTGAAAGTTTTTACATCACATTGGCTTTTTTTCCCAGCCATTCATTCACAGGTATTAATTACAATTGGTTTGTTTTGTTTAAAAACATTGAGTTGTAGAATTTGAAGAGGCATGTTGTGTAGGTAGTATATGTGGTGTGGGAACTAAGAGAATGGTTAAATGGTGCTTAAGCCAAAAAGAGAAGTGAGTGGATCTGGCCGTGTTCTGCTGTGTATATTTTCAACAACGCAAACCGATCAGGAAGGGCAGGTGCCGTGCCGTTGAGCAGTCCCCGGCTGGCCCTGTGTAAGAGGTGCTGTTTTGACCCTTCAGATCTACGAAGATTCCATCGTGTTGCAGTCGGTGTTTAAAAGCGCCCGGCAGAAGATCGCCAAGGAGGAGAGCGAGGAGGAGAGCAACCAGGAGGACGAGGAGGAAGAGGAGGAGGAGTCCGAATCTGAGGGTGAGTCCAGCCAGGGCTTTGCGTCTCCCGCCTGCCTGGTGTTTCCACGGATGCTGAGAACAGGCATCAGCGGGCTCGCCTGCCTGGTGTTTCCACGGTTGCTGAGAACAGGCATCAGCGTGGCGTCCTCGCCGGTCACATCCTCATCTGCACGTGCCGTCTGTTCAGTTCTGACCCGCGGGTGAGTGAGACCACTCACAGGGTTTCCTGGACCACCTGTGGCTAAGCAGGTCATCAGGTGTTTTCTCTGATGGGACTGTGACCGCAAAGCCAAGGCTCTGCCTGTTGCCACTGGAAAAAAACCAGTCCGAGAGACGAAAGTTTCGGCGGAGAAAGCAGAAACATTGGTATATGCTGGCATATAGGAGGCAGGGCCATGAGCTCCCCAAATCTGTCTCCCCTCGAGACTGGGGGGAGTCTCTGCAGGGGAGGGGCAGGACAGCAGACCGTGAGGGGTTTTACACTCTCTTCTCTGGTCCAGCTGTACTGGTCAGCGACCATGTCCCAGAGTATGTGGTGTTATCAATATTCCAGAGACAGTTGACACTGTCCACAAGTTGTGGCTTAAGGTGGGTATGTCCACCATAGGTTACAGGAACAGATGGGAGACAGCAACCAGAGGACTTCATTTGATAACTGCTGGACTGAGAGAGAGTCTGATTTTTTTCCCTTTAAGATATGGTTGAAAAGAAAAGGTAGATCTTTCTGTCTCTCTCTAGCTCGCTCTCTGTCTCTCTCTCTCTCGTTGTCAAGTTGGAGCCGACTCCTGGCCTGCCTTTGGGTTGACAGCAGAACTTCCTACCGCCAGACCCCCTGAGCTCCCATTACCTTAATAATAGCCCTGTATTAATGTTAGGGAGCTCTGGTGGCCCAGTGGGAAGAAGCTGTGCTGCAGACCTTAAGGTGTGGGGTTCAAATCCACTGGGTGCTCTGTGAGAGAAAGATGAGCGTTCTCTGCCTGTGCATTTAATTGCCTCTGAAAACCCACTGGAGGGTTAGCTGTGGGTCAGTTCTAACTCGGTGGCCCGTAACAACAGCAGCGTTAATGTTAGTCTAGGGCTGTAGTGTACCCATCAGTTGTAAAAGAGACTCCTTTTTCTGAAGTATCAGGTATTAGTTTTCTATTACTACATTGTTGGTTGCAGAGCCACTGGGGGATTTGAACCGCTAACCTTTCTGTTAACAGCCAAATGCTAACAATGGTACCACTACACTCGTTCTATAAATACCAAGGTGATGGAAAGGGTTGTAAAGGGCTTTGCACAGGGCCCGGCTCATAGCTCACTGGTGCCTTTGACTATCAGTGCTCTGACCCTTTTCCCAGGGAGCCCCAGTGGTGCAGGGTTTAAGCACTCTGCAGTTAACCTGGGGGCTGGGAGTTAAAGTCCATCGAGCAGCAACACAGGAGAAAGACCTGACAGACGTGTAACTTCTGTTCCCGTAGAAGTTCCTGTCTGAAAACCCTACGAGGCTGTTTTACTCTGTGACATGGGGTCACTAGGTCAAAAACGGACTTGACAGCACCTACCAGTTAAAGACATACGTTTTCTATCAAAGTCCTGCCAACACCACCTATCATTTATGACAGAGATGCACTAAAATGAAACATCCGCACTGACCCGGAGGTCGGAGGGTCAGACCCCCCTGGGGCGGCTCAGCAGAAAGGCCTGGCAATCTGCTTCTGAGAAAATCAGCCACTGAGAGTCTCTGGGCGCCCAGGTCTCCCTCCTCCCACGCTCGGGTGTCCATCAGCGGGCTGGACCCGGGACGGCGGGGCTGGTTAGACACGGATTCCCTGACTGCCCCCTGCCGCCCGCCTGACCTGCTTGCTTGCTTTCCAGCAAAATCAGTTAAGGTGAAAATCAAGCTCAACAAAAAAGAGGAGAAGGGCCGGGATAAAGGCAAAAGCAAGAAGAGGCCAAATCGAGGAAAATCCAAACCCGTGGTGAGCGATTTCGACAGTGACGAAGAACAGGACGAGAACGTGAGTGTGGCTGCAGGGAGGGGGCGGTGCAGGGCCCCCCATGTCAGACCCCCACGCCCTGTCCTCACAGCCTGTCCCCCATGTCCTATCCCCACACCCTATCCCCCCACATCTCATCCTCACATCCTGTCCCCCACATTCAGTCCCCCCATGTCCAGACCCCCACGCCCCGTCCTCACAGCCTGTCCCCCGTTTCGTCTCCCCATGTCCTATCCACACACCCTATCCCCCCACATCTCATCCTCACATCCTGTCCCCCATGTCAGACCCCCATGCCCTGTCCTCACAGCCTGTCCCCCATGTGCTATCCCCACACCCTATCCCCCCACATCTCATCCTCACATCCTGTCCTCCACATTCAGTCCCCCCATGTCAGACCCCCACATCCCGTCCTCACAGCCTGTCCCCCGTTTCGTCTCCCCACGTCCTATCCACACAACCTATCCCCCCACATCTCATCCTTACATCCTGTCCCCCATGTCAGACCCCCCAC